AAAAATTCCAAAATTTTGTAACTAAATTTCGAGTATTTTAACCAAAATTTTCATAAAATTTTTGGGTATGCACTTAACAGGCCTATAACATTTTAGTAAAATAAGTGTAAGCTTTGAGCGGCTAAAAGTAAATTTTTAATAACTTTTTTTTGCTGACGGCTTATGCGGTTTATTCCATATGAATAGCGAAATTTAGGAAAACTGGCGTTCACTTTTTTTAGTTTTTCGCAAATGTTTATATGGAAAAAAGTGAAAAACGCCACCAAGAAAAAAAATTATCAAAAGTCAACGCTATTTTTTAGCCTCTCAAAACTTGCATTTATTTTACTAAGATTATATAAGCCTGTTAACGGCATACCCATTTTTTTTTTTAAATTCTGGTTAAAAGGCTCGAAATTTAGATAAAAGTTTGCGGAATTTTTATAAATTCTGTATAAAGTTTGAAATTGTGATTTATATGGTTTTTGTTAAGCATGGACCATATTATTTTAGAACAATATCAAGCAAAATTTATTGTGAAAAACATTGTAAATATTAAAAACGAAACACCATTCATTCATTTTTGACCGCCACTGTATATACATATAGTACAGAGGCTCAAAAAAGTTTTCACAAGTTGATTTTTCTTTAAATATTCACAGTTTCTTAAGTTAAGGAATTTTTGTTTTGGTTTAGGGTAATATTTTTCATGCTTTAATCAAAGCCATATTAAACAAAGTTTCAAATTTAAAACAAAAATTTTAACTTGCAAAAAATTATGAAAATTAAAAAAAAAAAACATTATGTGAACACTTGTTTGAGTCACTATAAGTAGTAATGAATTTTAGTTCGCATGTTAACGACTGATTGCATGGGGCCTTTAGAAATTAAAGTTACGAATGCCTTTATCTCCAGACCAGTTTCACCATAAACATATCTACAGTACGCTTATAAATACATATACTTGCATATATTGATTGTATGTATGAATATACTTGCATATATTCTCCAACAAAGCACTAATTGCTTCTGGATATATCTATTTATTTTTGTAAGTATTTTTTGCACTCTTTCCACACCCATCAATCCCACACTCCACGTTTTATCATGCAGATTTATACCCTCTCTATTTTCCCCCCTATCACAATTTAGTTGCCTATACACTCCAGCGTTCCAAATAACTAAATTTTATCTATCCTTAAATGCAATTTTGAAACCTTTTTGCACTCCCCATACTCGTAGCAGTGTAAGTCCCCGGACCCACGTACAACACTTCGACTCGCTGTTAGCCAGAAATCGTAAGCGTTGGCGTTTCATTTCGTTGTCTACTCTAACTTATCCTTCGTGCTCATCCTTCGTCTGGCTCTCGGATACATCCGGTTGTTTCAAACTAATACTCTTAGCCTCTACACGTTCCCTCTGACTATCGAATGTCGCCAAATATGTAGTCATTCCACTTCACAGCACTTGATTTTCGACGAAAATAATCTTTTCCTTTTCCCAGTCACAGCAAACTGCAAGTGTGCTGTTTCTAAGTTCCTTCTTTGTTCGTAGAGAGTACGCTCTCTTCTCGCACCGCCACTTCACCGTTTTCCACTTTTAGCACATTATTGGGTTCCGCTAATGTTTCGTTCGCAGTTTCTAGTTTGTCCGGCGCTTCCTCTACTTTTTTATCCTCCCCTCCATCTCCTTTGCGCACTGTATACAGATATACCTCCATGTGATCCTTGCCCTTCACATAAACGCTGCCACGTGGCTCGAACACGTACTTATCCTCCAAAAAAGGCAAGCACTCCTTACCCACCTGTATGCGGTTGGGCACACCTGTGGAGTCCATACGCGATGCCACATTAACCGCATCGCCCCAGATGTCGTAATGCAATTTACTCGTGCCGATTACACCGGCCGTCACATCACCGATGTTCATCCCGATGCGTAGTATGAGGTTAAATTCGAGCAGGTCCTTGTTAAAAGCGTCCACCACCTCTTGCATAGCTATGGCGAACTCCATCAATGCATGTATGTGTTCGTTCTTATCACCACGATGTGAGGGGTCTAGCCCGCTGGCTGCCATGAAAGTAGAACCGATTGTCTTTATCTTCTCCACGCTGCGGAATTCGGGTCGAGAGAGTAGCTCATCGAAGTCGCCTATCAATTCGTTCAGTACACGCAGGTACTCCTTGCCGCCGAGATAGCTTTCGTCGTACATTTCGTTGAAGTTCACAATAGACGCGAATATGATGGCGACATTGTGATGATTTTCAGAGTATTTCGCGGTATTCTTTAGATGTTCGGCTACGTGTTTTGGTATGATATTATGCAGCAACATATCCGCCTGATTTTTCATGTTTTGCACGCGTATCTTGTCCTGATTGGCCACAGCATTGCCGTAGAAGGTCAGGCGGTAGCCGATCTCGAACTCGCGGTTCAAAAACCAAACCAGCACTAATATGAGTAGAAGATCTAAGTAAATCTCCACATGGTAGTCCTGGAACCATTTGATCTCCTCGATGAGGTAATTGCCACTCTCGGTGCCGGGGAAAGGCAAGCGTGTTGCATTTTGCGCTACAGCAGCTGCTTCTGCAGCATCCGTGCGATTCGAGTAGACCGTCAATTGACTCACCGCAATGCCAACGAAGCACATGGCCGCCATGAGTGCCAAGGTGTTACGCATCCAACAGTTCAACTGTGTAAAGTTGCAGAAATGTACGATGCATACGAAGATTAGGAAGCCATAGTGGTACTCGAAAGCTTCGAGCAGGTTAAGATCGAGCAGAAGGAAGTTCGCAATTATCAATATTACCGGCATGGCCATGAGTATGGCCAAGCAAATGTGCCACGGGTACCAGCTGGATATGGCTTCGAATATGCGGTCCGCACACGATTCCGTGTCGTTGATTTTTGTGCGCGCCTGTGTGTGCCGACGACACATTTGTCGCGTGAACAAGAACAGTGCAAAAATCTGTATGGCTGTGAAGACAGTGAAGAGAGAGACCCACAGACGAAAGCTGGGCGTGACGGTGTTTGGCGTCATAAGAAAGAGCGATATCGAAATGCACAGGTACACTGCAATACCAATGAAGATATCGATGTATGTGTTATAGCGTGGCGTCGCCAATGTCGGTGGACCTTCAGTCTCGTTCTCGTTGCCAAAGCGATGAGCTTTGGAGCGAAAGTCGCGTTCCATTTGCCTGGACTTGAAGTACAAACTGAAGCGTTTGAGCGGCGGCTTCACCAGGTAGCTTCGTTGAGATTTAGCGTTGTCACGAACGCAGCGTATTAACTGTAGATCGGACTGTTTGCGCAGCTGTTGTAGACAGGCAGCTAATGGGTCGGCTACTTGTGGCGCGGGCTGTGGTATCGGTGGGAGCGGCACGTGGGGCAAGGTGGTGGCGTCGCCAATGTTTGAAATGCTAGACGTTGAGCTGGTAAAGTAGCCGGAGACACGGTGTTGACTAATTGCGGATTGATTGAGCGCGTATATTTGGTGTTGTATTGAGGAGCGTCGCGAGTTGCTCTTGATGCCTGAATCTTTGCGTGAGGTGGCCGAAGCACATATGCTAAGCCCGTCTGGCCAAATACTCGAATTGCGAGAGTGCGCAGATTGGTGATTGGCTGTCGCTGTGAGTGCGCAGGGAAATGGTACCCCGCTGACGATTAGCGGCTGCGTGGCGGGCATATCTTTGCTTTTTTCTGCCGTCGCAGTAGTGAGGGTGGAAGCACGCGGACGTGGTACCGGTGAAGTCTCCGACTTGCCACTACGTCCACATTGGGATCGGTAGCTGCCCGAACGACCGAAGGGTGATATATCGCTGCGTGATTGACTGATGTAGGAACGAATATCGATGATATCGTCGAACATTGAGAACTGACCTGGTGAGCAGCAGCTGCCATCCGGGGAACGCACAAAGTTGTGCGAAATGCCCGTAGAGGTGGCGGCGTGCTGCAGCATTGCCTTTTGCGGGATTTCCAGGGTGTTTGAGGTTAGTGAGGGCTTGGATGATTCAACCACCACCGACAGCTGGTGATAACCATTCGGCTCGATGAACGCGACTGTCTCATCGCTATTTGCTGCCGCAGACTTGAGGCTCGTGCCGCCATTACCAACATCAGCGCAAGACGATTTGTCGGTGTGTTTGACGATGTCCTCGATTTTTTTGAAAAAGCGCGGAACCTTACAAACTTTTAATTTAAGTTTTGTGCGTCCGGTTTCCTCCGCCGAGTGCGCTTTGTGTGCGCTGCCATTTGTTACGTGAAGTCCGTTACAACAGCCATCATTTACTTTATCCGCTTCGTCAGCGGAATCCAAGCTGCCGGGTAGACTCTTTGTGGTGATAATGATCTTTGGTCGCTCGCGAATTACAACTACTGGTGGCGCGCCTAATGCATCGGCATGTACTACCCCTCGTTCTATATCACGTTCACGGCTCTGAGACTTCTTGCGCAGCTTCATACTGAGCGAGGTGAGACGCGGACGCATCGATAGTATGGGCGAGGGGTTGAGGGAAGAGGACAGTTGACCAACAGGCGAAGCGGGTGGCACATTCGGTTGAATGACCGAGATGTTGGTAGCACTCAGCGAGAGTGGCGTAGGTTGCCCCGGTATGCCCGGCAGTTGTAGGCGGCTACCGCTATAGTTGCCTGGTATGCTGGGACTCAGACTGTTTGCGCGCGACACATCTTTCCGCCGACCGACCACAAAGTAGGTGCGATGACCTGCAGAAAAAGAGATATATAGTATGTAAGTAAATAATTAATTGTCAATTGAGTAGATGGTACCAAAAACCTCTTCGCCCTCTTCCAGTAGATAAGCGTCGCCTAAGAAATTGGAGGTTTCTTCGGAGATATGCACTTGCTCAGGCTTGCCAGATGACTCCATTCTGCAATAAGAAGAAAAAGTTGAGAAGCTTTCTGCAGGAGTTTTCTCTGCCATAACTGCTTACTTATTCGCTAAGGATACATCGTTGCTCCAGACGTCGAACTTCACCCGTCGAGTGCCCACTATTCCGCACAGTACGGTACCGGTGTGCACGCCGACGCGCATTTTGACACCCTCATGACGCTGTGCATCAAAGCAGCGCATAGCATCGATCATGCCCAGACCCATTTCGACACAGCAGATAGCGTGGTCTGCTCGCGGCTCCGGACATCCTGACACGCAGTAGTAGCAGTCACCTAGAGTAGAGATTTTCTCGCAGCCATTGAGTGTACAAAGATCGTCGAACCGCTCGAAAAGGTCGTTGAGTATCTCCACCAGCTGCTCAGCCGTCTTCGTGGAGGACATTTTGGTGAAACCAACAATATCTGCGAACAAAATGCTCACATTGTCCATGCTGTGCATGTGGAATGGACGAAATAGTGTCTGTAAGTCGTTGGATGTGCGCGGCCGCACATAGTGGGAATCTGGATCCACTACGCCATCTTTGGTATCAATGCCGGCGGCTCCGCCCTCGTTGAGTAGCATGTCGGCAACTTTCGGCGGCATTACCGAGTGTATCATTTTCTCCTTAAGTTGCTTCTCCATCTCTAGTTGGCGACGTACCAGCAAATTTTGGCCGACCTTCATAAACATGCCGCGCATGCGCACCACGTTCATGATCAGCACGTGAACGCCCACCAAATGAACGCAAATGTGCAGTAAGATGCGCAGCAGCATAATCTTATTATTACACTCAGTTGCGGCGCCATGTGTCGCACTATTGCCCACCACTATATGCGAAGCTACTTCGAAGAGCGCCGAGTATGCGACGGCGATAAAAGCACTCATCCATAGTGGCATCGGCAGCGCCGTATAAATGAGCAGTACAATTGAGACGCAAATGGAGAAGTGCCCAAGCGGACTGAAGGCGCGTCCCGTGAAAATGACAAAGGCCAAGGAGGAGGCGCACAACACAATGGCCGTGAGCGCAGATATGAAAGTACGATAGGCGCGATACATGTCCCAGTGCGTGAAAGACATCGCGGCGATTATGATGAGCGAAAGCATTGAGAAGGAACTGGATATTGGACGCCAATAATTTTCAGAGCCGCCATCGATCAGAAAGTACAGGAACCACGAGAGGGAGCAAAGTAAGATGTAGGAGAGCGCAAATCTGTTGAAGAGATAGGAGGGGGAGGATTTAAAAATTATTTTCGAAACGTTTTAGGTAATATCAGAGAAATTAATATGGTACATTTACTAGTGGTAAGCTAAAAGGAAAATACGGACCATAAACTCACACAAATTAATTTTTATTGCGTATAGTTCTCGAACTACGTCTAACTTGCTTATCTGGCTGTGAATTGCACAGAATCCAACTTCGTAGCAAGTAGTGAACACCAATATCTTCAGCGAACTCAAACGTCACACTGTTGATTAAAACACTGCTTCCTCGTTCAACAACACTACGCCAATGTGGGCGCATATTTACGAGTAATTAAGTGTCTTAATATCCTTACATTGCCGGCATTTTTTTTGTTTTGCTGTATATATTAAGCGCTGTGTCCACTGGCCAACTGTCATTTGCGATTGCTGCCGCAATGTCGAATAATTTGCCACTTGCGAGAGACGCGCAAGGAAAAGGACAAAAACAAAGCTGGTAATAAGTAGGGGTATGAGGCAAAGGAAAACATATTTTTGTATGTCTTACGAAAGGCGAGCATCAGTGAAGTATTGAGTGAGAATGTTTGTGTCGAGTTGGCGTCGCATTTATTTCCAACTTAATGACGATTTCGTGTCACGTAATTAAAATCAATTTAATGCGGATGAGAGACATGGAGCGCACAGAAGACACTTAGGCAAACACGTAAAAGTGAAAATGAACGGCATGAATTGCTGGTAAAACAGTCCTTAAAGACCGCACGTATCGTATTTTTTGCGGTTACATTCGATGAAGGTGGTTCCCTCCTTCTGTTTAGTGATCATTGATTTAATCAATGAGGTTGATTTTATTAGGTTGCAGAAAGTGCGTGTTACAAAAAAAAAGAAAACGGATATTGATAACGTGTATTAGAACCTCAATTAAGTTTATACGTCGCCATTAAATAGCCCACTTTTGTTGCATGAACTGTTCCTTTATAACTTGTATTAAATTTCCCATTGCTATACTTTTCAAAATCGATATACCTGTTTAAATATTTACAGAAAGCTGCTATCAGGGCATACCCGCAGCGATGCGCACATGTCCGACGATGGCGCAGGAAATAGTCCTCGAACTTCAGCTCCTTCATATAACCATAAAGCAAAGAACTCTGCTTAGGTTCGCTAGGGAGAGATTTGGAAAAGGTAAGGTCATATGTACGAGGAGTATGGTCCTCCGTCCTGCAAGCTCTGTTCCCTAGAGATGACATAGGTACAGCCATAGCCCTTGAGAAGAGATTTGAAATAGAGATATGCGCAAAGCAACCTGGGCCGTCTATGACGTGGAGAGACTACTCCAGGATAGCACGCTGCACTACTACGTGGACGGCTCGAAAACTCGAGAAGGAATAGGGACTGGAATATTTGGACCCAGGACCAAGATCTCTGCTTCTATGGTAAAATATCCGATATATTAGCAGAGGGCACAGAAACGAAAGCGTTTTAATTCTGAGTGACAGCGAGGCGGCACTCAAGGCCCTACTATCTTATGAGTTACAAATCGATGTTAGTCCTTGAGTGAATCGAGAAGCTGAACTCCCTTGGCCAGTTAGCGAGGAGGGAGGAGCTTAGGAGGAATATAAGATAGCATAGCTCGTTGGGAATGCGTCGGGAAATAGGTTACTGGGGAAAGTGGGAGGGATTAACAATAGAAGATTCCAAAAGTTTATTAACCTCTCAAATAAGAGGCTTAGAATATTAACTGGTATCCTTTAAGGACACTTCGGACTAAGAGGACATCTGCATAAGTAGGCGATATGGTCGAATGATCTTCGCCGGTTATGCAACTTGACCATAGAGACACTGGTACTTATACAAATCGAGTGTGACGCAGTCTGCAGAAGAAGTGGAAGAAGTTTAGGCTAAATGTGGCCACAGATTGAACACATCCACTCCCAACGTCCGAAAGAGCTATTGAACTTTCTGAGGAACCTAGATCTATGTAGAAGAAGTATTGCGATGAGTAAAGGGTATAAAGGATGCCCAGATCGTGAAGCACTCCCCTTTTTTAATAGCTACCTATCTATCAAGGCCGCTTCTCTTAACACTTTCGCCCTTCTATATACTAAGCCACCCTGTCAATGCATCCACCAGAATTAAGAGTTGCAGCTTAGTGAGCTTAAGAAGATCGCCTGACTGGCTTCGGTTCATCCAAAGTAAGAAAAACCTTGCAGTCCTTGTTTTTACTCTGCGTTCGCTGAGTCGAATCGAGTCTGTCAAAGAGTAGTCCGAATATAGTCTAGGGTACTTTTACCGGTCAGTGCATATGCAATGCAATTCCCTGCAATATCACGATGGCTTTGTATCCATATTAGTTCGAGTAGGGCAAAGGCATACGAAAAAGTAAGAGAGGCCCCTGTACAGAGTCCCCTGAGCGAGCCAACGGGTGTGATAGCCGCTTGTCTATCAGATTTGATATTTATATGCCTTGACGACATCGAGTTAGGCAGCTTACCCACTGTTGCTTTGATGGCAGATAACTCTGCCTGAAAGCACTGCAGTGATCTGGATGCCCACCGCCAAGCCTCAGCCCATCCGCCTAAAAGTTCACAAATGCCTTTCAAATAATGCCTTCCGTCCACTCATCTCTTAAAGGAATATGAGGGGAGCTTATCGTTGCCAATGTAGCTACGCAGTGATACGTGTTATCAGGGCTAAAATCGAAGCCGCCAAGTATTCTGAGTTGTCTAAATCTTGCGTTAGTTAAACACACGATGGCCCAAATTGCCTGAGTGGCAAGTGCGGACAGGCGATTGCGAGGTCTCCTGTTTCTAATATTCAGTTCAATCAGGTCTCTCCAGCTTTGCCTAGAGAGGCTGACTGATCTGCTTATAAGAAAAATAATCCTAAGCTTATAAACCATTTGAGTATCAGAATTTCTACTACTACTTTTCTGTTTTTGCTATCAGAAGAAAGGACTTTTTGTATATTTTTATCTTTAAATAAAATGAATTTTCATACGATGACCATAAGTGTTCTGTGATTATACATATGTATGTAGCAATATGTCAATTAAGTAGGTATGATATAAATCCTCCACTATCTGGCGTTCGCTGACTACCTATTCTACATAATTATCCTTGCCACATCATTTCCTAATGTAATTTACGTAGTTATTCATTCTCCTTTGGGTGCGTGTATAATTTCTATTTGACTAATTGTCCACATCACAATTTATTGCTACTAAATAAAGCATTACATTAGTAGTAGAGTATTAACATACCCGCACACATACATACATATACGCTCGTACATGGCTACGGCAAATAAATACACTCGTGGAGGTCTGCGGAAATGCTTGCGGTGAAGGATAATGCGTTTGTTATTTGCGACCACAACCAAAAAAAAACTAAAAAAAAAATAGAAAAAGGAAAACAATCAAGGCGCTGTGACAATGTAGCGCATAAAGTAGCAAATAAAAAGCATGTGCGGTTATGTCAACATGTTAGGCGAGTGCAAAAAAGGACTAACGAAATTATATACAAACAATTAGTTGAAATTGTTTGGCCAGTTGTGCTCCGCAGCCAAGTTTATTGCATCGAAAGCTTGTAAATGGATTAGGGATTAAATTAAAATAAGTCCTGTAGGTATTATTTGTGTTTTGTTTATATTATTTTTTTATAGTATTCTCTCAATTCTCTTACTTATTTCGCTCGTTATTTTTCACTGCAACACAAAGTGATTGTACTGTACTCAGATGACAGCTGTGATTGAAACGCATAGCAGGCAACACATTCATAACTAAATAAGTAAACGAAGTTGTGTTTACACGTGTGGTGGCAGGTGTGTTGTGTAGGTTGATGGCACTGCTGTTACATTGTCAACTAGGATTTGTCCACTTAACTGATTAAGTGCAGTCTACGCTGACTGATGCTGCTATAAGTTTTTTTGTTATTTATTTATTACTGCATTGTGCTGCGATAGAGAAATTTTTTACATATGAATTTTTTTCATTTACTTCCCTTCGATAATTAGGAAAAAATATATTGTTTGAAATTTCTAAGGAAATATAACCTATAACTTTTTCAAGGGCCTTGTTGATTTCGACAGAGGGCGAATGAACTCGCTTATATGAAAATAATTTGGTTCTCCTACAAAAATGTTCTAACATGGGTACCAAAAAAAAGAAGGATCTCATAAAAACACAATAACCCCGTTGTGTGACAACATCAAGGCGCACGTCACAAATCGGAGGAGAAGCTCGGCCAAACACTAACAAATTGTGTAAATGTGTCAGCCATTTTATTAAGAGATCGGGACATTCCTCTACTGCTTTAACAGTAAGCGACATTTTTTCAATGGATCAAAATCGCATCACACTGTACCAGTGATGCTTTAGAAATAGCAATCATTTCAGCCTGACTCTCAAGCCTCTACTGCTACACAAGATCGTGGAAATCTACTGAGAACTCCTGACCAGAGGTTAATTGGTGTCGTCAGAAGCCTCATAATGAAATTATCATGCGCTTACGTCGGTTTTCTTCCCTCCCAACTTTAATTTTTTTTTCAACTAGGCTATTCTTGGTAACGTGCCACAGTACTTAGATGGATGATAACATCTCTCTGAGTTGTGCCCTTACCGGCAATTTTATTTTTATTGAGATATTGAGTCTTGTCGCCCGAAATTTTTTCACCCGCCTGTAGGGAATACGCACAAGCGAAAAGGGAAAAGTGAGCGATAGTGATAAGGCTGAGCATCTATCTTCGCTGTTGTTAGCCAAGCCAAAAGCAATTTTCGCAAAAGAAGTTATCATATTGCAAACAACGAGTTGGTTTAGAGATGAGAAGGCAGCTTTCGGATTTTTTCATATAACAAGTGCGGGTCTTGCGCATTTTCTTCCACAAGAAATTCATGCTTGTATGCAAAATAGTGCAAAAAGCCGTCACCAAAAAAAAAAAAAAAAAAAAAAAAACAATTTCTAAAAAAAAAAATTATTTTTTAAAAAAAAAAAAAAAAAAAAACCCCAAAAAAAAAAAAAAAAAAAAAAAAATGCAGCCGCTTAAAACTTGAACTTATTATATTAAAATTATTAAATTTCTAAAATTGCTAACTAAAAAATTTCAAAAAAAATCAGATTGAAAAATTTTAATGAAAATCGAAAATTTGTTAAATTTTTATAAGCTCTGTATTAAGTTTTGGTTTACAGCATTAACCATATTTCTATGAATTAAAATAATGAAAACATTTTAACTTTAAATACCTGGAAATATTAAACAAAAATCACCATGTACCCATCATTGCTCCCCACTGTATATTCGAAAAAAATTAAAACTTAATAAAAACGACTAAGAATTATCGAAATAATAAACAAATTCGCGAATAGTGATTATTTTTTATTGAAAAGATTTTCGTTTAATCAAAAATATCAACTATTGTACACATCGTCGCCCGTATGCCATAAACATGAATGTGTAAAAATTAAAATTTAGGGAAATCCAGTTTGAAAGTGTTTTTTTTAAGAGACTTAATTCTATATTTATGCAATTAAAATTGTAAAATATGTGGTTTTCGTGTACGCATGGTGTTCTGGGCTTTGGTATAACATAGAACATCCAAAGGTTAATCAAGTTAGCCCCATAACCCAAAACTGATAAATTTGCACATTCATGATTCTGGCATAAGGGTAACGATTTGTAATAGAGATTTAAAGAGAAATGTTCTTAGTAAAGATCTTAAAACGAACCAATTTTCAAAATAACGATTTGTTCTGCCTTGATTTTCTAACGTTCAAAATTATTTTTGTAGTATCGTTGATAAGCACTGGACATTTATTACTATATCTGTGCCCCTCAGTTAAAGTAGCTTAAGTGACTTTAAAAGGTTTGATTTTGAATTAAAAATAATAAGTTTTCCATGAAAATTTGGACAATTTTCTTAAGCTTCTATTAAAAGAGTATATTAAATGACTTAATGGCTAGTTAACGTAAAAATATTGTTTGGGAACTCAATGAATTGAATTGATTTAAAGGACGAATGGCCTATGTCGACTTACGCTAATTTAACTGACGGGCACAGATATGTGAAATATCTAGTCAAAATGCGACGTATGTACATACATACAACTATAACTCCGCTAAATCTACATAGATATAGTAAAGCTGATGAAACACTTCTTTGAATGATCGATTAAACTCATAGCAGGCCATTAACATAAATATAATGGAGTAGTGTCACGCAATATTTCACAAGCAGTTCACCAGTGATTCAATCGTATATAACCATTGCCCAAGAGAATACACAGCCCAGCAACTTAGATATATCTCTACAAATATCGTATACATACATACATACATACATGCTATAGTTGTTTATATAAATAAATTTGTATTCTCATAATAATTGCTCAGGTGAGCAATAAATATTAAACATTTGCTTTGTTAAGTGCTCAGCAGAGTGATGTGGGAATGCCTAATAAATCGAACGGCATTAATAAATATTTAAACACATGCGTGCGCAACGATTTCGAGGACGGCCCATAATTGCCATTTGAATTGTTATTATTAACTGGATTAAACATTAAAAAGCATATCTTCAGGGGGCCGAGGATGCAAGCAAATAGCAAAGCCAACTCCCGAAAATGCAGCAAGTACTAAGGACACAATATAGTAAGCGCCAAATTGTGGTGATAAAAATGTCTTTTTTAACTTAACTAAATGAAATTTATATTAACTTCAAATATCGCGTAGCTAAAAAGTGCGCTTAATTCAACTGTGGAAAGTTAAAAGTTCAAAACAGCATAAATAAAATAGTATGTAGTTCTCATGGGTAAATATCTGTGTGTGTAGGTGAGCGCTCATTTCGTTTTGCTGTTCTACCACATACGCATGCCAAACAACCGTGCGCTATCCATACACTCACACATATGTATGTATGTAAGTACAGATATTCCGCTTACCCTTGCGTTGATGCACCAACTGGGGTCACCTGCTGCTGCTGCTGCTTAAGTTTATTTACATTAAGAACTACCCATTTATTTTAGCATTACAATTTGTTAACACCATTATGCTTGGCCAAATAGTTATACGAGTATGAATTTACACCTAAAGGATAACGCACTCATTTTGCCTGTTTTATTATTCTATTTTACTTTAGGGAATTAGTACACCAGAGTAAACTACTGTGCTATACGATGATTAGAGGAAAGGTCAGTCATCTTCATTATTACTTTATAAAGGTATATAAATTTCAGCTTGGAACAAAGGTAAGCATTTACATACACATACGTTCCTGCATACATTCACGCGTTGGGTTTGTTCCAATGAATTGTACAGCACTGATATTTTGCAGTGTGGCTTTATTGGACGACGAAATGCGTAGATTAAAAAAAGCGGCTGACATTTTTGAAAGTAAACTGGTAAAATTTAAGCGAGTATTATTTTTGCTTTCAATTCGCCGTTACATACATACTTGTGTGAACAAAGTAATTAAGAAAGTATTTACTTCCACGCTGCGGTAATAGTAATAAAATCACGTATACGCCCTGGTTTCCTTGTGCACTCAACGTGGTAAATAGCGTAATTAAAAGTGGTTCGATTTAAAACCCATAACTACATACAATTTTCATCATTTAAGAGACAAGCATAATTTTTCTATAATTTCAAAACTGAATAATATTATTTGGTCATTTAAAAGCTGGACATAAATTAATTTTGTTTATATTTACCAATAAAAAATATCGACGGCAAAAGGTAGACAAAGATTGTATAGTAAAAAGTGGACAAAAAAACTGGAAACACATAATAGATTAAATTACCGAAGTAATAAGTAATAAAAAGTAATAAAATATGTCTCTATAAACTAAATGAAATTAAAAAATAGGCTTTTTGCTCAAACAATAAAAACTTAAAATTAAAAGAAAATTAAATTAAAAAAGACAAAATTATTTAAAATTAAGAAAAAAAAAATAAAATAATTGAAATCGAAAAATGATAGGCAAGTTAAATAAAACTTTAAAATTAAAAGTATAAAAAGTAAGTTCCTAAGAATTAACGGTAATTAAAAATATGTATATATATATATATATATATTCTTCTTTTAAAACAATAAAATCAAAAGATTAAAACAAAATAAGAAAAATGTTAAATTAATTCCTGAGAATGCTCACTCGACCATTGCACTTGTGGAAGCAGCGCGAGCAAAATGATATACATACATATGTATCTACCTCTCCATTTGGAACATGCTTAAGTGCTTCCTGTCAAAAGAGCTTTTCTCCATGAAAGTTGGCCAGGAAGCTTTTTTTGTAAGACTTTCGTGTCAGAATAAACAAAATCTTTCAATTTAAACTTGTCTACAGTATTTTAAAAAGTCTTACAGAAAACGTGCCGTATGAGTAACATTATTTCCTGGTAATACATACAGCCCGTGACAAAACGATAGCACCTCAACATTTTGAAGACTATTTATATTTTGTTTGTTTAATGTACATTATTTTTATGCAAAAGTATAGTTCTTTATCCAACAAATACCGTATAAATCTAAATTTTAGACTTTGTACAAAAATTATGCGAATTCCATAAACTTTTCATTCCAATTGCAAGCATTTTAGTTTTAATTTCTAGAATAATTTCTGGTATGCAGTTTTATAGCTTATTAGATTCTAGTACAATAAAGAGCAAGTTTGAAGTTTCTCAAAATCGCGTTGATTTCTGATTTTTTTTTTTTGCTGACGGTACAAAGTAATTTTTTATATAGATAAAAAATCATCAAAAACCAATGCGACTTTTTAGAAACTTCAAACTTGCACTTTTTTATACAAGATTTTGATAAGCTACAAAACTGTATACAAAAATTAATTTAGAAATTCGAATTAAAATACCTGGAATTGGGATACAAAATTTGTGGAATTTTTGTACAAAGTTGGAAATAGGGACTTATATATATGGTTTTTGTTAGATAAGGAGCTGAACTTTAATGAAAAATTAATTACCTTTAAAAAAGCAAAGGAAAAGTAGTCAAAACTGTTGACGTGCTATCTTTTGTCGCCGGCTGGATGCATTCAATTCATAAAAAATAGTAGTTTTTATTTAATTGAAAACATTTTCTGTCTACCTGAGAGACAGCACATTTCGTTATTTTAATCATTATAATTTTCGGATCAAAACGGCATATCATTTATCTGTTATGGAATTACATATTTCGACCTTAAGTGCCAGACTGACTGTTCTCTTACACAAGCGACAAAAAATAACACTGCGTTTGTGTTCATTATTTCTGTTTTGATGAGTTTGAGGAAAATTAGTTGCATGCTGTTGTCATAACGCCTTTATGTATGCTACAATTATGTAATTTACCATTTTCCATGGGTGCTTGGCGTGGCAATGATTTTAATTTTCTGCGTTAATGAGCGTGAATTTATAAATTAACGCATACATTATTTCGTTCTTCCAGGAAAGCCACCCTCTTGCTGCCGATGCCATGAAATGCTAAAATTCAAACGCATAATTAAGTTTGTGCAACCATCGGTATCCTGGTTACATTGGTTACGCAGCTGTGTTGAAAGTAATTGAGCAATGAAGTTAAACATTCCCCAGCATAATTGCGTAGCAATGCAGATAAGTGACATCGGTTGTGACACAACGAAAATTGTACAGTTAAATGTAGTGTAGAAAACTTAAATATATAAACAAAAACAAAAAACTGCATCTGCGGTGAACTTTATTTTCAAATAGCCTCACTGCTGGTTCTACTCCTTCCCGTACACACGCCTACACTCAAGTGAATTCAAAACCAATTTACCCATGTGCAGTTAGCATGTACACTCACACATCCACAAATTCAATAATTCAATAATTCACCAAGCCAACAATCGCAATGCCATATTCCAAATCCTACCTACGGCAAGTTTTTTTTTTTCTTTCCTCACTCACCTATATCTCATGCGTATGTGCGGAAATACGCTAGTCTGAAATTGTCCCTCCAGTACAGCTGAATCGAATTTCGGATCCAGCCATGATTTGGATGCGGCCCGTTCGAATGCTACCGGCAACATGACGCTGCAGCAAGAATGCCGTCGTCCTGTCTGACTTAGGTACGTTTGTATGTGTGGCGCTAACGCAATTTGTATATCGTCGGTGGAATTGCTGCGACTATCGTTGACTAGAACGCCGGGAGGCATGGCGGTGAAGCTGACCGACGGACGACGTGACTGCAAAGAGATGGAGAGGTAAACAAAGTGAAAGAGAAAATTTAGTAGTAGAAATGTTATTTGAAAAAAAAAACAATAAAATCGAAAACAATTTAGGTATTTACAAGTGTAAGCACTTCAGTCCAAATTGCATGAAAGCGAAAGCGCCACCGAAAGGAATTGAACAAAAAAGTAGTTAAAATACAAATAATTTTCATTGTAGCACTGACGCCTGCAGCCGTAACGAAACTAAACATCGTATAACGGCATTTACTAACGCCTTTAACTTTGCTAACAAAACTTAAATTAAACTTAATTGTGCAACGTAGTGGAAATGTGATTACGTCGAATTCGTTGTCTGCATGCGTCTGAATGGCATAGTGATTGTCCTAGCAGAAGGTGCCGCAGGCATTGGCAGGTGGGCTAAAACCCCTTATGTTACACTCGCTTATACATACATGAATTGGTGTACGTGTGTGTGAATAAGAATGTTGGCATTGCTGGTTAATTGTGTTAGACGATGTGGAATCGCTGATGGAAGTGTGAATATGTGGTAGCTGACTTTCTCCCAATCGCTCGCTATCAGAGTCAATACCTCCTGCTTTTAAATATAATGTATACAAGCAATTAATTTGAAGAGTAATCAAAGTGTGGCGCGACAAAGAGTAGTCGGTAGAAATTTGACAAGTGGTGGATTATTTTTTTGTTTTGGCGTGGATGTGACAATTTGCTTCGGGTTGTATTTGCGCCTAGTGTAGCGAATATTGATCTGGAATCGATTTAGATATGCTGGATAATAAGCATTTGAAGCAAGTTATTTCTGTTAAGTTTACCGTTTCAGGTTGGCTATCGTCTGTGAAGAGACGAACTCTGTTCATAAAAACGCACAATTCGATATTGGTTGCTCCAGGAAGCGAATATGGAATCTGCTGACCGAATGTAAGCACATCTATACGCTAGGCGCTACTAACAATATTTAACTGTGATCTCCAGTAATTTTTAAGGGGATTTGCCTAAAGACTAGATTACATTTTGGCTATGGAAATAAAAAGAAATTTCTTTTATTTGGGCAGGGTACTAACAACATAGACACCGCCACCAGAAGGCAGATCGTTTTTTATGAGAAACCCTCGGAGGTTCGCCATTGCTAGCATAGGTAAAGGGTAGTATCGAAGTAAAATGACTGGGTGTAACTATTGACGACTGGACGTTGTGGCTTCTTGCTACCGCTCCGTAGGACCAGGATTCGATCTCTGGTCCGGGCGACAACTGAATTTGATTTTTTTTTTAACTACGGTTGCCTATTGGCTGGCAGTGCTAAGCCACCGATTGAAATTCTGTCATGAAAAGGCTTCTCATAAAATCCACTAGCCACCCGTCGCCGTCCTCCAGGTGCTATTAAGCATGCCTCCACTGCACATCGCCATTAATAAAGAAGCCTTAAGAAAGAAGGTGTACATCCTTCCACTCTCAGAGAGTATTTCGACTAAGAGGATGGACGACCTAAACTCCGGAGAGGCAGTCAAATGTGGCCCAGGCGTCGGCTAAGGTGTTTATGAACTACTATCCAGAAGACCTCCATCCACGGGAATGGGGAAGCGCAACTCTATCTCCCAGGCTGAGCTCTATCCTATAGAACTATAGGCAATACGCAAAGTGGTGAAATATTTAGACAGAAATATGTACATACATACATACATAAACTCAGGCAGTAGGCTGACGCTCTTGGAATTCAGAGCAGATAAACCGTTTTGATTAACCGTTGAGATTAACCGTTTTAAAAACTCTTAATTAGTCCTTATAAAGTAAAGAGTTGCAATATACTAAAGCTTGTTAAACAAAATGCATAAATAAATTATAACTTGTTAATCTTTAAACACAAATTGTGTCTTAAACAAGTTCCAGTCAGTTCCCTTATTCAACATACCGTTTTTTTTACTACTTATTCCATTTTAGTTACTTATGTACATAAAATAAGAAAGCAATTGCAGTCACTATTTTTTCGGATGGCTTTTGCACCTGAACCGCAGTTTAATGACTGCTATTACAAGCCAGATAGCCACTGACGAGCGAAAAATGCTACTCCAAATGCCGGTGGCCATTTTTGTTAGTTGCTCTTTAGCACGTGGCACACTTCAGAGCTGAAAGCTTTTTCCTTCCTTCCTTCCTTCCTGCACTCCGTATGACACAGGCAGCAGAAAAAAAATCACAAACACAAAACATAAAAAAAAAGTGACGCCGAAGGCATGCCGCAGTACACTTCACAAAATATGTGGCATTAAATTCACTTTCACTCGTGCTGCTTTAGCTAACCTTCATTCTATGAGTTTTTTTTTTTTGGTTTTTCATTCTACTTTTCGCGTCCTTGCATGACAAGCTCTTTAATGGTTAACGGTGCTATGTTTGTAAGTGATTATGGCTGCTAACAGTAAAATACCTGCAGGTAAATTTTAATGTTTTACTATATTTCTTTTTTTTCGCTCTCTCTCTCTTCTAAATATTCTTCAAGTCAGCCTTGCATCGCCTTTAACTAAAACGCCCTGCATTGAAGCATTGCTGCCGGAGTCCCTTCCACAACGCCCAGCCAGCCTTAAGCCTTTAAAGCAACAATTCAACATTTATTGTTATTAAATTTCACTGTTGATGCAGCTATTTTTGCCATACTGCCGTACCCGGTTTGCATTTTTAATGGCTGTAATTAATTTTCATATTCCACAGCGACTTGAATGGTTGGTGTCCATTGTTCGAGAATCGAGTACTGCTGCTGTGCACGTTTTGGTGCAAGAGTGGTATGTATTGTTGTTGTGCATTAGTAGGAATATTTGTGTTGTTGTGCGCATTCCTTTGCATATTGTCGACTGCAACGCCTGGGCAAATTGTTGGATTAGTGCAGAGGAATTTAATTAAAATTGCGATAGGTTTGTATTGCCTTTTGTATACGATTGTTTATGGTAGTCTAAGCAATTTTTGTGTGATAAATGGCGGTGGCGTATGAGTAACATTCACTTACAGAGCCTAAGCGTAGACACAAAGGGGATATTAATGTTTGCGGAACTATTTCGCTTGAAAGCGGTGAAAGTAGGGAGTTCTTTTGAAAACGAAGAAAGGACCTTTGCTACCAATGACACCACCGATATGGACCGATATGGACCAACAGTTGCAATGGCCGATTAAGCAAAGCACATTTACAATCATTTCCTGTTTAAAACTTATTTAATTTTGTTTACCTTAATTTAATTTCCTTTGAATTATACGATTTTTTTAAATAAATATTGTACAAATTCTGACCGCAAAGATGTAAATTCACCTTATTCGTAAGCACAAACGTATACGCTTATTATTGCCAGTATACAATGTGAATATGAATATTATTTGCGCCCAAAAGGTGAATTAAATTAAACTGAAAGTTGTGAAAAACTAAAAAAAAAAAATTTTCAAGTCAGTGGACCAAAAAAAGCAAAAACTTTGCAAAATAATCTTTTCTGTTAGGATTTCATGAGAAACGTACCTCCTAAAAACTTTTAGCCAAGAAATCTGAAAAATATACATAATCTCTGAGCTTAAAAGTCTCAAGTGGATTATCCGCCTACATTAATAGGTAAAGCCAAGCCATCATTTTTGTTCTGTACTATCGAAACCAGATGAATTTTCGTACAAATTGTGAACCCCTATTATTGTTTTCATGCCAACGTAGACCCCCGCCAAGTCCCCTGTGGACCCCTGGACAACTTTCGGAATCACTGATATACATGCATATATTATACAATGCCACGGCAAGCATTTATATATATTTTTTAATATGTATCATTTAATTTTTAGAAACTTATTTGATGTTTTTTATTTGTTTTTTTCTGTTTTAATATAATTTTTTTTTATTTTTCATATTTTATTCAGGCAGGTTCTGGAATTCACTTTCGAGTGAATTTCAATCAAACTCGCTTTGAATTCAAATTGGCAGGGGTCGAAATTCACTCGGAAGTGAATTGCAGAACCTGCCCGATTGTTTAAAACCGAAAAATATTTTTTTTTTTAAATTTAATTTAATTTTTGGAAACCTTTTTTTTATTTATTTATTTTATTTGTGAGTACTTATGTAGATGCCTTGTTTAGGCAATTGGCCAACGTACTTTTCCAGATGTTCATCAGTTTTTAAAAAATTAATATTTTGGTTAGAAATATTTATGTACATACGTTTATGAATACCTTCAAAGCTCCTTTCCTAAAATAACCAAATTATTTAGTGAATTTAAATAAGAGAGTAAGTGTGATGGGATTAGCGAGATTATTCAAGAGAAAGACGAGAAACAACTGTTTTGCTTTATTGGTCTCGGATAAATAGCTTAGGCTTAGGAGAAGTGAGCGTTTCGCTTTTTTTTCTCTCCACTGGCTAACTCCGCTGACTGCGTTATTAAATTGACTGCAATTCTTTAAAATTAAACATTTAAATTGAATAATTAAAATTTCTCGCACCCCAAAAAATATACCATACCAAGCTTTAATTCGGCTCACCCTTTTCCGACCCGACCCCTACATAAATTACTCTACTTGTTGCCAAAGAAAAAGCAAATTGTCTTCAAACTCATCAAAGCGCAGATTCTTTTAATTTGTGTGCCCTTTTGCTCGAGCGTCAGCTTGAATGTCAAATAAAGCTAATTACGTGCTCCCGCTGACAGTTCAAAGTCAACAACAACTACAGAAACAACAACAACAACCTCTACCGCCCACGCTCTCGCCCACAAAGGAGCAGAGGAATAAAAAATCGTATCGCGCAAAAATCAAATCGCAGCAACGCAAACAAAAACGCTAAACGGAAAGGGTGCTGAACAACTGGAAGGGTGAAAGGTACGCAAAATTGAGATATCTAATTGAGCCAATTAGCAACTTGTTGCACTGCCATCAACTGTTGCAACTGGGCGCTTTTTCGCCCAACATCGCATAGTTGTTTCCTGTACGCTGTGATGTATTTTTTGTGCTTTGGCTTTGGTTTAGATTTTCCATTACCAAACACACACACACGCACT